AGAGGTAAAGGGGCAGGGGCAGGGTTACTGGACCCTGCTAAGAGCTGGAACCACAGGAGAGAAAGCCCCACAGGACCTGTGGCTTCTGATAGGAAAGGACCCACTGCCAAACCCAAGCCCAGTTCAGGCCTCTCTCTTCTCCACCCTCTGGTCACCTGCTGGGGTTCCCCATTGGCTGAACTCAGCTGGAAGTCGGAACAGGGAAGCCTGGTGATCAACGTCTGGGAACAGAGGAGGGCAAGGGAAAGTATAAATGGGCCTGGGGTAAACGGAAGGCATCAGCTCCACGTTTAATATATCACTCATGTACTCACTTAGCAACTGTCTCCTCCACTAGAATGTCAACTCTATGAAGGGATTTCTGTGTTGTTCCTTATTGTTTCCCTTTCACCTAGAAGAGGACCTAAGTATTCAGTAAATACTTATTGAATAAATGGCTTAAATTATAAGGACATTTAGTCCCTCATGTGACAAGGATTCTGGGAATGGAGAAGTTTTAGGGTTGGTTAACTTATTGGCTCAACAAGCCCTCCAAGGACTCAAGTTCTATCCTTCTTTCAGTTGGCTTGCCGTCATTAGTAGGGTCCTCATCGTCCCAAGATGACTGCTAGTGCTCCAGTCATCACAGCGGGGTTTAAGGCAGAAAAAGGGATTTTCTCATCTTACAACTCCTTCTGGGGGGGAAAAAAATCCCAGAAACACCTAGCAGCCATTCCCTTATGCCTCCTTGTCTTAGGCTGCATGCCTGTTCTTAAACAAATGCCTGTCGAGAGGAGTGGAATTACTCCAAATGTTTTTCATTAGTCAAAGTCACCCACTAAGGCTGACAAGAAACCATTCAAATGAAATCAAATCAGTGGGAACATGGAGAGGAGGGATTGGGGATGTACCCAAGAGCCCCAAACAGTGTCTGAGGGAAGGGCTTGTAGAGCTGGAATTCTAGGCTGTTAGAAAACTCAGAATCCACAGTTGTTGTCTTCAAATCTCCACTGAGCTGGGGTGAGACCAAGGGAGGTAGTCTCTCTGGTTGACAGTTCAGAGAGCGAGTGGGAATTAAAGGAAGGAAACCAAAGTTTGCAGAAGTTCAACACAAGAAGGGAAGCAGATCCAAGTAGAACAGGCTGCCCCACTGGGCAAGGGACACCACATAGTGAGCACACACCAGCAATGGCTGGATGAGCATGGGCCACAACATTGCAGAGGAGACCGAAGTTGGTGTCCAAGGTTTCCTGAGGGGGAACTTTAGGGTCCCTTTCAGTCATGAGATGCTATGATTCTCTGACAGTTGTATTTCCCAAAGATGACCACAAAATAACTTCCACTCCAAAATCTCTCCTGCATAGTGACTTTGCAATTTTCTCCTTGAGAGCTAGAGTCTAATACCCTTCTCTAAAATCTGGGGTGGCCTTAGCAGCTCCTCTGTATCAGTAGCCTGCATGGACGTGATGCTGCGTGGCTTCCAAGGTTAGCTCGGGAAAGGCCATGTAGCTGCCACCTGGTTCTCAGGAGCCTCCCTCTTGGAACCCAGCACCATACTCTGAAAAGCCCAAGCCACATGTATAGGTGATCAGAACCACAATGCCAGCCAAGCCTAGCATCTGTGACATCTCAGTCAATGCAGTCAGGAGGAAGACATGTGAGTGGGAAGCTTTCAGCTGAGCCCAGCCTCAGCATTTGAGTATCCCCATTTGAAGCCCCAAATATCATGGAGCTGAGACAAGTCATCTGTATTACATCTGAATTCCTGACCCACAGAATTTATGAGCATAATAAAATGGTTCTTAACTTCTGTGCCACCAAGTTTTGGGGTGGTTTGTTGCTCAGCAACTGATAACTTCAACAGACCCCTTGGGGGCTGAACCCCAATACTTGGCTCCTGCCTTTTCCTGGAAACTCTGGCTTTGGTTGGTTCTGGAGTTCAGAGCCTGCCAGCACTGTGGTGAAAGATGGCGTTTTTCTTATCTTTGGGGGTCTCGGTTCAGAGGTGAGGCCCAGTCATCCTTCAATCCCTAGCATAGTGGGCAAAGCNTGTTTCTCCAGGGGTTGCTGAGGGGCCCCAGGCTCTTCTCCTTCATCACTCTCTTGTGCTACCAGAACTTACCTTTCCTTTACTGATGATAAAGAAGGTGTCCCCTCTGGCACCTTGCCTGATGATATATTCCCCATTTTCATAGTGGGTCTGAAAATGGAAAAAAAGAGACGAAAAAAAAAATCATTAAGAAAGAAGTAATTTACCAAACAACTCAACCTCTTCCAATACCAGCTCCCGAGAGATGCATTCACTCTCATGGAGCTTTACCCAAGCCTAGAATCCATCATGGTTTAAGAATGAATAATAGTTAATGAACTTAATAATTATAATTACAAAGAAATAATTTCTATCATGCATATTTTAAAAACTATTTTGTTATTGCCATTTTTCTGGATGATTACATTTCTATCTTTAAATCCAATCCATTTTAATCATTTGATGAAAATATTATTTTCTCCCATAAACTGAGCATAAAATAAAACAGCAGAGATGCTAATTGCACTGGTCTTTCTGTATCATTTTATTCATCATTTGGTTTTAGTAGTCTCATAATGATAGCTCTTTTTTTCTTTTTTTTCTTCCTGAGAAATTACTGCGGCATCTGAAGATTTTCATTTGGAAACCATGTTGGCTTTTAATGTCGGTTAGATGGTCCTAGTTACTTTGTAAGGCACTGCTTCATGCTTTACTGTCCTTGCTTCAGCAATTTTGATTTGGCTCTGTCAAACAGAATGTCTTAATTTTATGAAGTGAATTCTGATCCAGCATCTGTGAGCTCATAAACTACTGAATGAGGAGCAAAGCAAAAGCTACAAAAGGATTCTCACAGCCAGTGTCTCGGTATTCTGACTCTGACACAGTCAGTAGGTTTATTCCCAGGGTTAAAATTAGTCCTGCAACAGATAAAAGTAATTTCTATAAGGAGAGGTGAGAGAAAGTGTATTGCTGTGTCAGGAAGTAGAACTGTGCCATTTCGCCCTATCCTTCTCTGCGGCTGAGCAAGGGAGCCATATTTTGGGAAAGAAAATATTACTTTGTGCGCTCCTTATGAATCACATTTCATGGTTTGCATGTAATATCCATCAGCCCTGTGATTTGTCCTTATACTTCGATACCACGTTTTGAAATGCTTGAGTCTACCTACTCTTAAATCTGCCTTTCGTTAATAATTCACATTAAAAATGGCCATAATTTTCTTTATATTCCTAGAAAAAAAAACATACTATCTAATCTGTCACTTTTATTTTACTCAATAGTAACTTACTTTCTTAGTAACAACTTTTAAAAACAAGAGTATAGAATGCGTATTCTTCAACAGATTTATTTCATTTAACAAAATATCTATATTCCATTTTCATATCTTGCTGCTTTGAAATGAACACATCTTTTCAACATGCAGATTTGAAAAACAAATCACAGCAGCCTACATTCATGTAGCCATTCAACAAACATTTGTGGGTGTCTCTGAGTCAGGCCTGGCTATAGGCACTGATGATACAGAGATGGGTAAGGCAGCAGTCTCAGAGTAGCACCGCCAGCTAGGTCTTTCTTCAATGGGTGTAATGGAATACACCTGCAGTGTTCAGTATAGCAGCCGCTAGCCACATGTGGCTGCTGAGCAGTTGAAATGTGGCCAGTGTGCCTAAGAAGCTGAATTTTAAAAAATACATTTAATTTTAATTATTGATATTTAAATACTTATACATGGCTGGTGGAGGCTGTATTGCATAGCACAGGTAGTAGCTAAAACTGACAAGGGAAGAGTGGCGATATGAGGGGAAGGGGAGGGGCAACGGTGGAGCATCTTACCCCCTCCTGATGTTTCTTTCTAAACGAATGGAGCGCAGTTAAAAAAAACTCAGGGTCCCTCTCTTCCCCTTTCCTCAGTCTACACCAGGGGAGATGGCGTGATTTATCTGACCGGTAAATGTGGACATAATTGGTATGTTCCGCTCAGCCTCTCATCGTCTCTCACTGGTGGGAGGGAGCTCCCACAGAGCGCTGGTATTCTCTGCAGCTCCTCCATCCAGGGGAAGAATCTCTTCCCTGGCATAGAGAAGTCTGCCCCTGTCCGGTTTGTGTGACAGGACAAATCTGCCCAAATAGAAGGTACAGTTTAGGAAGCCTGTATGTTCTCCCACCTAAGCTCCAGCCCCTTGCCTATATTTTATTAGTAATAATGGTAATATCTTTTTTATCTTATTCTTTGTCTTATTTTTCACTTGGTTCCTAATCTAAGAGCTCTCAACACCCCTCCCCTCCCAATCAATCCCGTGTGCAAAATGCTGACTTTCTGTTAGCACAGGCTTGCGTACTATGTGCTGTACTGTCTAGTAGAGGTCTGACTCTTCCCATGGCTTTGCCATGGCGGAGATTCTGATGCCCCAACTGAAAGATGAGGAAGAAGCCACTGAATGTTGAGCAAGAGAAAGCCACCCCAAAAAAGAGAACTAGCAGTTTTTTATGATCACATAATAGTAGTGGATATACAATTATTTTGGAAACAGTAGAAAGATGGACATAAAAAGCACCAAAATTCAAAGAATTCTCAGCTCATCTAAGCTCATTTGCTCACTTACGTATCTCCTTTAAAGCTGAATAATACTGTATGTCAACCATAATTTAATACATATGTAGTCACGGATATGGAGTACAGTATAGGGAATAGAGTAAATGGAATTGTAACAGCTATATACGATGTCAGAGGGGTAGTAGATTCGGGGTGGGGCGTTATCACTTTGTGGGGGGTGTAAATGTCTAACTATTACATTGTTTTGTACACCTTAAATCACAATGTAACTATTACATTGTTTTGTACACCTTAAACTAATAACTAATAATAATAAAGCCTATCCTTTCGCACATATAGCAGGTCTTCCAATAGCATTGTTTTGTTTAACACTGTTTCATTATAATGTTGATGAGATGCTTTAGGAACTTAACTCTTGTTTGTATCATAATTAGTTTCATTAGACATTGTTTTTACTTAAAGTTGCAGGCCCCATAGGTGACATGAAGTGATGACTTACTGGAATGTTATTTCCTTTTAGAAACTGAAAATTGTTTGTAATACATTAAAAATGTAGGAAGGTAAGCGTTTCCCAGGCTCGGCACTATAGACATTTTGATACAGATAATCCTTTGTTGTTGGGGGCTGTTTCGTACATCTGGTCGGGTTCAGACATGGGATATGTAGCAGTTTGGCCTCTACCACAAGATGCCGGTAGCACTTTCACCCCAGGTGTGGCAACCAAAAAGTTCACTAGGCATTGCCAATTACCCTGTTGGGGGCAAAGCTGTCCCCAGGTTAGAATAACTACACTAAATCTTTTGTAGTTTTATTTGGACCTGAAACAGCAATTTATTATTTCTCTCGATACTGTTCCTTGGCTTCCCACAGTATCAGCTGGGATAACTGCAAGGTCTAACTCCTCACTCTGTGGTGAGCATTTGATGCTAGCTGCTGGCTGGGGGTACAGCTGGGACTGTCGGTCTCTGTTCTCCACACGGCGTAAGGAGTGGGAAAGGACCCATTCCTTTCCATGACATGGTTCTCAGGGTAGACCAACTTCTTAGATGGCAACTGGCTTCCAAGGCCTTCCCAAGGCCCAGGCCAGAAAAGAGCCCTGTATCACCTGTGCTGCTTTCAATGCGTTCAAGCAGGTCCCAGGGCCAAACCCATTGCCACGGGAGGGGACTGCACGAAGGTGTGAAACCCTGCAGATGTGGTAAATCAGGGTCCCTCAAAACACAGTCTGACACATGCCTCAAACCTCACATGTCCAAATCTCCTGACCTCCTGTTATTCTTGCTTCTCCTGCCTGACATGTATCAGCGGCTCAAACTCATTTTCCCAAGTATGTTGGCCCCACACCTTTGGGGCAACCTTAAATCCTCCTTCCTCCCAGACCATAACCTTTTTTTTAGGAAATCTTGATGGCCTCACCCTTCAAATAACTTCAAGACCCCACAACTTCCCAACGTTTCCCCCTTTGCCTCCCTTGCCCAGGGCCTTTTTCTCCTACCTGGGCCCTTGCTCCTACCCGGCCCTTTTAGTGCCCTTCCCAACATAGCATCAAGTGATTCCTTTAAAATTCCGTCAGTGGTTTGGCCCTTCTCTCTTCAAAAGCCTGCAGGGGCCCTTCTACTCCAGTACAGTGGAGTTTCACAATGGCTCCAAGGTGCTATAGCTTCTGTTCTTTTGCTTAGCTGACCTCACCTCCTCCCCCCCTCCCCTCCCCCCCATTATGCCTGTTCTGTTCACACCACTTCCTTTGATTTTTCTTCAACACCCAGGCCCAGACCTACCTCAGTGCCTTTGCACCGGCCCTTCTGTCTGCCTGAAATGTTGCAGCACTCCAGGTAGCTCCTGACTCCTTCATATCTTTACTCAAAACGTCACTTTCTCAATGAGACGTTTCCTGTCCTGTCCTCTGAACATGTTCCTCTCCTCTGTACTCATGACTGCATGAATTTATTTTCAGTGTAGCACACAAACCACCTACATCTGTTGGGATTCTGACAAGAGAGACTGCACCCTGAGGGGAGGTGTAGTGACCCATGAGGGATGCATGGTATGAGGGGAGTGTCGGCAGGAGCAGGAGATCAAGGAGAGCCGGAGGTAAAGGGGGCAGGGGCAGGGTTACTGGACCCTGCTAAGAGCTGGAACCACAGGAGAGAAAGCCCCACAGGACCTGTGGCTTCTGATAGGAAAGGACCCACTGCCAAACCCAAGCCCAGTTCAGGCCTCTCTCTTCTCCACCCTCTGGTCACCTGCTGGGGTTCCCCATTGGCTGAACTCAGCTGGAAGTCGGAACAGGGAAGCCTGGTGATCAACCTCTGGGAACAGAGGAGGGCAAGGGAAAGTATAAATGGGCCTGGGGTAAACGGAAGGCATCAGCCCCACGTTTAATATATCACTCATGTACTCACTTAGCAACTGTCTCCTCCACTAGAATGTCAACTCTATGAAGGGATTTCTGTGTTGTTCCTTATTGTTTCCCTTTCACCTAGAAGAGGACCTAAGTATTCAGTAAATACTTATTGAATAAATGGCTTAAATTATAAGGACATTTAGTCCCTCATGTGACAAGGATTCTGGGAATGGAGAAGTTTTAGGGTTGGTTAACTTATTGGCTCAACAAGCC